CTTCGGAGAAATCAACATTTTCGGGATCGCCTTTTTGCGAGCTTTCTTTTGACACCCAACACGACCGATATTTCATAGAAAGAGAAAATATTGTCCCCCTTTTTCTAGCCCCCCTCGTACTCCTGCAATTATAGGGTTGTTCGGAAAGTCATTTCGTTTTTTTCCCGACAGAGGATTTAATTGTATTCTTTTGCACCCAACTTCACATTTAAGCCGTATAATTTTTATATGCTTTGAGAGCTCATATAGCAAGGCTTGTGTGTGAAAAATTCCAATTAATTCTACGCAGTAGTTTTTGGTTGGTGCCCTTTTAAATATGGAGAGCGATAAGCAGCATTTTCGACATATCTTACTGTTTTACTACAGAAAGGGTAAAAATGCTGTTCAAGCCAGAAAGAAATTGACTGATGTGTATGGAGAAGGTGTGTTGACAGTACGCCAGTGCCAGAACTGGTTCGCTAAATTTCGATCCGGCAATTTTGATGTCGAAGATGCACCACGTTCGGGAAGGCCGGTTGAAGCTGATAAAGACGCGATAAAGGCATTAGTTGATGTGAACCGGCGAATAACAACACGTGAGATCGGATTGAGGTTAAATTTATCAAATTCAACAGTTTATGACCACTTGAAAGGCCTGGGATTATCCTCGAAGCTCGATGTATGGGTTCCCCATGTTCTCACAGAGAGAAATCTGTGTCGCCGCATTGACGTCTGCGATTCGCTTCTCAAACGTCACGAAAATGATCCGTTTTTGAAGCGCATCATCACTGGGGACGAAAAATGGGTTGTATACAACAACGTCAAACGCAAGAGGTCATGGAGCAAAAAAGATGAACCGGCTCAAACCATTTCCAAAGCCGATATTCACCAAAAAAAGGTGATGCTGTCTGTTTGGTGGGATTTTAAAGGAATCGTTTTTTTTGAGCTTTTACCGGATAACACAACGATTAATTCGGAAGTCTACTGTCATCAGCTGGACAAACTGAATGATGCACTTCAACAGAAAAGGTCAGAACTAATCAACAGGAAAGGTGTAGTGTTTCACCAAGACAACGCGAGACCTCACACAAGTTTGGTCACTCGCCAAAAGCTTTTACAGCTTGAATGGGATACAATGCTACACCCACCATATTCTCCAGACCTGGCACCATCGGATTATTATTTGTTCCGGTCACTCCAAAATTTTTTAGACGGTAAAACCTTCACCTCAAATGAGGAGGTCAAAAACCTCCTCGATCAGTTTTTTGCCAGCAAAGACCAAAAATTTTATGAGCGTGGAATTATGCTACTACCAGAAAGATGGCAAAAGGTGTTGGACCAGAACGGTCAATATATAATTTAATAAAGTATTTGTTTATTATACGAAAACTGTCTTTCATTTCCACAAAAAAAAAGGAATGACTTTCCGAACAACCCTATACATCCCCGCTGCCTGTAACTATACCAAACTTTGACGTTCTGCATAGCGGTCATTGAATCCACTATTGGTGTTCCAATTTTTTTTTCTTTTTTAATTTTGGTAACTGCATAAAATTTCAACTACTTAGGCTGTCCAATTAAATTTATTTAGAGAAGTATTCATTAGATTTCAAATTATATTTAATGAAAATACGCTCGGCACCGCTCGCAAGTGGTCATTTACAGTTACAGTAAAATACCTTGGAACAAGTTGGCAACACTTATTATGGTGTGTTAAAAGAGAAGAAGTTCGAAGACGAAATGACGATGTGTGTGTTGAAAAAGGTGAAATTCGAAACCAGTTTGAGTAAGAGTACCGTTACCATACGATATTATATTGAATTTCAAAAGTCATGCTATCGATCAAATAAGCCGTGAAGACGGGATCGGCCGAACCCTTTGTCGAAATGCGTGTCTCACTTCTTTTGTACGGGTGACAGGCTCTAATATTAATGATACAAACCGTCAACGAAACATTCCCTAAATTAAAACTATAGTACAAATGTATACAATCTATTTTAGCGGAAGTAATTGGAAAATTCACCGAAATTTGTAGGGGTTGGTTCTATCGATATATTATCTGTATTAAAACTTAATAGAAGCCCTTTTGTTTAGTATTGTATCGATGGAATGAATAGAAAACAGAAAACTTGATAATAAACTAAATTGTCATTACTCCACCACACAAATTTACCGATATTGAATTATTCAATCGATAAGTATTTTAATATAATTTTATATAATCCATCAGAAACGTGCCAAAACTAACTAATTTACAGAAACCTAGTCAAACCTATTTAAGCATTATGAAAGCCTATCCCAACAAATCACATTTTGGTCTGGTTCCTATTCCTACTCAAACCTTATTGAACTTACAATTGAACGTATAAGAATCATATGGAATCTGATGATCTGTCTGTGATTTATCAAATCCTGTCTCAACTCATCACATTTTGACCTAGTCACTACAAACTCTTAGGAACACCCTTTGTAAGGCAAGTAAAATCTTATAATAACTTTTACTGACACGTTGTGATGGGATAGAACGTATCAAAACCGTCTAGAACCCTAATCTGTCTAAAATTTATCAATCCTTCTCCTAACAGATCAACTTATGATCTAGTCGTTGTAAACTTTGAGGATATCTAGCGTAAGTTAATGTTTCTACTCAAACCTTAAAGTAGTATATGGCAAAACATAAAAAAACCACATAAAATTTATCAAATTCTCTCCTAGCGCATCAGATTCTGGTCATTCCAATCCTGAAGAAGACCCCGCATAAAGCAAGATTTCTACTCAAGCTTTATTAAAACTTTTACCAAGACAATGTGATAAGCCAGAGCGTGTCAAAACCATACAAGACTTGGTCTAATCTCATCAAACCTTCTCCCAGCACATCAGGTTCTAACATAGTCATTCTTCACCTTGACGAAACCCAGCGTAAGTTTAAGATTTCTACTCAAACCTTATTAAAACATTTGCTGGAAAAATGTGATAGGACGAAGCGTATCAAAACCATACAAGACTTGGTCTAATCTCATCAAACAATCTCCCAGTACATCAGGTTCTAACTTAGTCATTCTTTACCTTGACGAAACCCAGCGTAAGTTTAAGATTTCTACTCAAACCTTATTAAAACATTTGCTGGAAAAATGTGATAGGACGAAGCGTATCAAAACCATACAAGACTTGGTCTAATCTCATCAAACCTTCTCCTAGCACATCAGGTTCTAACACAGTCATTCTTAACCTTGACGAAACTCAGCGTAAGTTTAAGATTTCTACTCAAACCTTATTAAAACTTTTACTGACAACGTGATAGGACACTTAGGACACGGGGTATCAAAACTGGCCTACTCTTAACAAAACTTCTCTCAACACTATTATGCAAACATTATCAAAAGCTTTGCTAACCAATCGAGCTTGTCAAAACTTGAAGTGACTCATTTTAAATAATTGAAACCCTGTCAAGCCGAATGAATCAAAATATTAAATAGATTTAGAACACACTTTTAAAATGAACAATACTTTTAAGTGCGCTAAATACATCTTATCTATCACGTAGAAAGTCAGATTGCAGAGCCTTGTAAAAATAATTGTTGTCATAGTAACCGTTGCCGTTAATTGCATAATATGTATTTACTCAATGAATTATATACCATTTTAGCAAAACGAAAGTTAATAGAGGTTCGGGTAAACTTTAAAAATAACAGACTGCAAATGATTCCAAGCGTAAAAATGCCGCTGTTAAATTATTCTCTGTTTCACTTGCTCTCGTTCTCTGTCTGTATCGGTAAATGGTAAGGTCGAAAAAGTCAAGTGTAACAAATATTCTTTTAACTTTTACTCTTTCGACTGTTGTGTACCTTGGTTTAATTACAACCAAAAATCTTTGTAATTAATCAGGATTTGAAAATTTGCTAACATTCGTGATGTTTTGGGTATAAAAGTGCAGTCAATCATAGGGCGATAACAACCCTGCAAGTAGAAGTGCATAGGCAGCATCTACTTCTGCTTGCAGCTTCCAAAACACTGTCTGTGATTAATCGATTATTTTCATTTTTAATTGCTTAACGACAAATCAAAAAACATCTTAAAGTTTTCAGAGAATCCAAGTAATAACAAGGCATAACCCTTATTCCCTTATTATCAAAACCCATTTCTGTTAGAATCGTCTCACCTTAAAATGTTACTTAACGAACACGAATTTTATTACTGACGCCGAACAACAATAGCAAACATAAAACAGTGCAGGAAAAACGACGATTTGTCTAAGTCATTCATATAATACTTATAATACAGAACAAAAACAATTACTTGAAACATAGGAATTCAGAGATGATTGAACTCTGAAGGTAAGGCATCGTCTTTGATTCATCGATGGACAACTAAGTACAACATTTCTTTCATTAGATTATTTATTGTGTAGATCAAATTAGTAGTGTCAAACATTTAAGACTAATTATCAACAAAATTAACGAAAGAATGCAATGTCAGTTTCTTGATCTATTATAATCTAGTAATAATAAAACACACCTAATTTTAAAGAAGTCACTAAGTGCCTATTAGATACCCAGGAGGTCATTAATTTCTAATGATTCCTATCGACAAAAAAGATAAAGCAGATATTATAAGAGATATATTTAAATTCTCATTAAGGATTACACCAAGAAGACAAAATTCATATTTCTAAGGTATTAAAATTCCTTCCCAAAACAGAAAGAAATAAATTCATACGACAAGGATGAAAAATGCAAAATATTAATTAATCTTTAACAACAACGACGACAAAAATATTAAAAAAGGTAAAGCGAAAATTGCTTTCCTTATTACTAAAACTGTAAGAGATTAAGAATAACGCCAAAAAGGCAAAATTCATATTCCTTATGTTTTAAAATCCCTTCCGAAATCTGAAAAAACTAAAATGTCACACAAAAATGTAACGAGATACATTAATCCTTAACAAGGATAACAAAAAATGTGGCATAAAATGCTCACAAAATTATCACAGTTGAAAAAGGATAAAACAAATTATGCCTTACCTTTCTTAAGAAAGTCCTTTGCAGTGATCCGAGCACGCTCCTGGACGACAGGATAACGTAACAATCTGAAATTCGATCACCGGCAAGCACATCATTCTCCGAATCCTTGTTCACACGCTAATCTCAACTATATTTAAGGCCACTGTTATCAGTATTTTCCCTTTTTTCAAGCACTGAACTAACGTAAATTAATAAATAATTTTAAAAAATTACCACCACCGTTATTTTTATGTGGTTTGTAAAGTTTTAACGTTGTCACGTTGCATTCTTTTTGCAAAAAGCAGTCTCAAACCACGCAAGCGAGATTCCTTCTTGTTACTTGCTGGCTCTGTGAAGAACGAACAGATATTTTATGTAGTTTCCAACGTTCGGATTGTTTAAAACTGTCGAGTCCATGGGCAATGCGATAGACAGAGGCGAACGAGCCAAACCGATCGAGACGAGAGACTGCTTGCTAGCCATTTACTTTGCTGCCTCACGAAGGCAAAGGCAGAACAGACCGCCAGTTGTTGCTGGTTGAGTTCGTTGTTAATTGGGCCCGGCAACGTTAGAGAACTGTACGAGGACAATGTCGACTGGTACAAGAAGACCTCACTGAACACACCGAACCTTCTTTTATGATCGATAACATCATATCTATCGATTTCCTTTTTTGGATTGAATCTATATCCACTGCCCAAATAATTAGACTCAGAAGGGATTTTCTGAAAACTTTTCGTGTTGTAGAATATGGAGACTATTTAGGATGACTCTGTGAGTATCTCTTTTTGCTTATCCAGTATGCAGAAACAGTCGTTATCTTCAAACTAAACCTCAGGATTGATAATATCAGAGAGATCTCTCAATTTCCTTTTCTGGATTGGATTTGTATCCACTGCCGAATAATTAGACTCAGAAAGGATTTTCTAAAAGATTTTCATCTTGTCGAATACGGAGACTATTTGGGATGACTCTGTGAGTATCTCTTTTTGCTTATCCAGTATGTAGAAACAGTCTTTATCTTCAAACTAAACCTCAGGATTGATAATATCAGAGAAACCTCTCAATTTCCTTTTCTGGATTGGATTTGTATCCACTGCCGAATAATTAGACTCAGAAGGGATTTTCTAAAAGATTTTCATCTTGTAGAATACGGAGACTATTTGGGATGACTCTGTGAGTATCTCTTTTTGCTTATCCAGTATGTAGAAACAGTCTTTATCTTCAAACTAGACCTCAGGATTGATAATATCAGAGAAACCTCCCAATTTCCTTTGTTGTACTGGATCTGTATCCACTGCCAAAAAATTAGACTCAGCAGGGACTTTTCAAAAACTTTTCCTGTTGCAGATTATAGAGACTACTTGGGATGACTCTGTATGTATCTCTTTTTGCTTATCCTATAAGTAGAAACAGTCTTTATCTTCAAACTAAAGCTCAGGATTGATAATACCAGAGAGATCTCTCAATTTCTTTTGTTGTATTGGATCTGTATCTAATGCCAGAATAATTAGACTCAGAAGAGATATTCCAAAAGCTTTTCATGTTCCAGAATATAGAGACTATTTGGGATGACTCTGTGAGCCTCTCTTTTTGGTTATACGTCTTTTATTTCTAATTTCTAAAAGATTTTCATCTTGTAGAATATAGAATCGATTTAGAATGACTCTGTAAATCTCTCCTTTTAGTTATTCAATATGCAGAGGCATTCTTTATCTTCATACTAAAGCTCAAGTTTGATAATATAAACATCTCTCAATTTCCTTTTCTGGATTGGAACTGCATCCACTGTCAGAATAATTAGATCCAGAAGGGATTTTCTAAAAGGATATCACAAAAATAAGACCGAGGAGATGTTTTCCATAACAATTTGTCAAGTTTAAGTCATTTAAATCCAATATTTGGTAAATCTCTTTATCTTAAGATAGTATTTGATGTCAGTATATAACTCAGGAAAGATTTTCTAAAATAATATTTTAGTTTTGGGTCATCTAGATTTAGTTCCTTAAAATTGTTTTAATCCTGAAAAGTATAGTCAATCTTTCTCAAGTTTGGATTAATTCATCTTCTTCAAATACTCATAGAGCAATCAGAAATATTCTAAAGATTATACACTTATTCATCAAAAATCATCAATGAGATTTTTAGAAGATTTTATCCGCTGGGTTTTTTATAAAACATCCCCTAGCGTTTTCTGGATTTATTATTGGTAGATGGAGATACAAAAACTCAGAAATTTTCTTTTTAAACATATCGTCCGTTTCAAGGAACGAGATCCCGTGCCAACCTTTACCGTCAATTATAGCGTAGAGTCGCAACATGAGAACCGGTTGAAAGGATGAAAAAGCTCCTGCCCTTTTTGTTTTTCTGTTTGCCTATCTGCAAATACACAGCCGTCGTCCAAGTACAATCTTAGACCTCGGCTGAGGTATTATTCATGGTCAGAATTACTTCAGGCTAATAATACACGTTAGGAAAATGAACTTGGAGGTCTTAGCTATAACGGGAATAGAAAATAGAAGTATCTCAACTAAATTTCCCCAGGAACAGAACTCATCTTCTATAAATTCTCTTGTGAATGTATCAAATAGATCCCTGCATCTTTCAGATTAAGATAAAATCTGTTGACGTGTTGACTCATAATCGGAATCAAATATTTGTACACATTTAATCAAAAGACTTTTTTACGGTAAATGTCTGGATGATGGCCCTTCGGGGGTCGGGGTGGGATGGGATCGAAAGAAGTGGTCTCCCCCACCACTGTACCATAAAAAGTTCTTGGCGGTCTCACCCTCATAAAAAGTTATGGGGGTAGGGGTAGGGGGGATCGAAAGAGGGTAGGGGGGATCGAAAGAGGGTAGGGGGGATCGACAGAGGGTGGTCACCTGAGTAAAACCCCATAAACAATTTGCGGCGGTCTCACCCACATAAAAAGTTATGAGGGTTGAAAGTTGATTATTTTGACAATTTTCATACACTATAATTCAAATAAAATCCAATAAAAAAATTATTTTCAAGCGGGTGGAGGTGGGGGACCGAAAGAGGGTGGTCACTTGAACAAAACCCGATAACCTAACCTAACCTAACCTAACCTAACCAAACCTAACCAGGTCAAACTTGCGCCATGCCACCTTTTCGTACTTTCCCTTCCTTNTTACATGCCTAGAAATGTAAATAATTATTAACTTTGAACCCCCATAACTTTTTATGGGGGTGAGACCGCCACGAACTTTTTATGGTACAGTGATGGGGGAGACCTCCTCTTTCAATCCCCCCCATCTAGACCTTTACCCATTTTTACTATTGCCTTAAAATAAGGAATTGCTTGGACTAATGACTGTTACACTTCATTTAACAACAGCCAGAATACCGACATCATCACGTAGGAAGAAACAGTGCAACAATATTTCCAGAAAGACAAATCTTAAGAACCAATTGACCAATTAAATTGGCTTGTTCCTTAACGATTTCAAGATGTATTTTTAATACGTATTGAAGAGAATATTTCACTAAATAATCTTCCTGAATAAATTTGTTATTGGAAATTCTTTTAGTCTCAAACTGGTCTCAATTCGATTCGATAATAAGAGACATGCGACTGACTACACGTGATACCATTTCCGAGTAAAGTTGCCGACCTTCAAATTACTGTAAGTAGGTATACGAGATTAAGTTTAATCCAAAATGATGCAGAGCCGCCATATTTACGCCAAGATGATGTGATTTTACGGAAGAGGTCAAAGATCTGCTGGCAGAAGGTCGTTCGGCGTTGAAAGGTCACTTGTATGACAACCGTTTCACTTTGAAAGGACAAGGATTAGCTCGATAGGTTATTGTGCAACAGCGAGCTGCATGTGACGATGAAGAAGACCGTCGAGAGATTGGAGCGTAAAACGTCTACGGCCTAATTTTACTATAAGGAGATCTCAAAACTTCATCTCTTCGTATTATGGTCAGACCAATTTTTTACGATCCTTTTGGTTTTTGGCTTTAATAAGTACCTATAACACGGTAACACTACAAAAAGAGATCATTACGTTTTGGTCTTCGACATAGCTGGTGTTAATTGTTGTTGAACTTTTGGTCTGACTCTTTTCTCCTCGTCAAGAGTTTTGTTGATATAATGGCCTGTAATTGACTGACTTACTGTGACCTCCTTTTTGCCAAAGACCAATGCGTCAATGTATTCAATGATTTGATCCAATTGTGTAACTTTTTCAAGTCATCGGAGAATTGTTTCGATCGCTTTCATATCATTTGATGTGAGATACGGTTACTTGACTTTAAAATCGCCCATTTATTGTCTGTATCGCCCTTGGCGTTAATGAGTACTTAGAACTCAGTGACATTATAGAGGGTGATTTTAAATTTTGTTCTTCGACAGAGCGAGTGTCAATTGTTGTTGAACTTTTGGTCTGACTCTTTTCTCCTTGTCAAGGGTTTTGTTGATAAGATGGCCTGTAATTGGCTGACTTGCTGTAAGCTCATTTTGGTCAAAAATCGATAAGTCAACGGATTCACTGGTTTGATCCAATTGTACAACTTTTTCAGGTCATCGGAGAGTTGTTTTGATCGCTTTCATATCATTTAGTGTGAGATACGAATAATTATCTTTAAAATCGCCCATTTATTGTCTCTATCGCCCTTGGCGTTAATGAGTACTCAGAACACAGTGACATTATAGAGGGTGATTTTAAATTTTATTCATCGACAGAGCGAGTGTCAATTGTTGTTGAACTTTTGGTCTGACTCTTTTCTCCTTGTCAAGGGTTTTGTTGATATGATGGCCTGTAGTTGACTGACTTACTGTAAGCTCATTTTGGTCAAAAATCGATAGGTCAACGGATTCACTGGTTTGATCCAATTGTACAACTTTTTCAGGTCATCGGAGAGTTGTTTCGATCGCTTTCATATCATTTGGTGTGAGATACGATTAATTGACTTTAAAATCGCCCATTTATTGTCTGTATCGCCCTTGGCGTTAATGAGTACTCAAAACACAGTGACACTGCTTTGATCGCTTTGAAATCATTTGATGTAAGATATGATATGAGATTTTACATAGAAATTGATCGAAAAGGTTGAATGCTGATAGTGGATATATTAAAGTTTTTAGTATATATTGGATCTTCAATTACTAAACAAACCGTAGCAGTTAGATAATAGTACCTTTTACTTTCTTTAATTGGTATTCGGTAGAACAAGAACGACTACAACAGATAGAGTGATGCAAACGAAACATTTGTACATCATTTCAAACGATATTCAGACCAGAAAAAAAAATTTCGAAAATCAAACGCAGGACAGTTAAAAGAATTTCGGTCAAACGCCATCCCACTCATTACGTAATCCTTTTTATTATACAATTAATTGGTCGACAAAAGTCAAAACCCTTCTCGCGCGCTGATGACTTTTTTCCCTTGAATAATCGAAACTTTTGACGTATCTTTTTTTATACAGTATTTAATATATCTGCAAAACAATCCAAGCGGGCGCTGACATAAATTTCACTGTTTAAACATGTGCATGTATTCGTTCTGATAACAACTGAAGAACGAGGATGTTATTAAGTCAGTTGTTTTTATCATTCACAATGAAAATATCTACAGGAGCAGGGTGTAATTATTTATCTACTCCAATTCATGATTAAGTAGGTAGCTACTTTCATTACCGCATTTTAACCAGCAAGTCTGCGTTGTAAACATTAATGAGGTACGTAGAAATTTTTAATTATAATACATTATTAATAAATGCAGGTACCTGGCATATACAGGTAAGGCAAAAAGTTCACCTACCATAAGAATTTTGTCGTTTCTTTCTCTAACTAGGCCTTCCTTTCTAACATCTACTCATTTCTAACCTTTTCCACCCAGGGAGTCCCATCATTCGCCGGTAACATCACACATCTATTCCGCGGTGCTGTTCCACGTTTCGCACCCGTACATCGTCACGTTCCTTTTTCAAATTACTAAATTAACCCTTTTTGCAAGCATAGAAATGACTTTTTTGTGAAAGGCAACTCGTCCCTGCACTGCCCTTTGTTTTATATGTCTACTACTCCTTCCATCCTGAATTTTCTGACTTCCTACATGCCGAAAATTAGCCACTTCTTCTAATTTTCGTCTCCTGCCTTTATATTCATTCTTTCCCTACATTTTTCTTTGGATACCACTATTTTTGTTTTACTTTTATTTTTTTTTTATTTTATTAAAGAAATATCTAAATAAATAAATGTCAAGATATATACTTACAGAATGTTTAGAGAACATGTTCAATAAAATTCTGAATGCATGTTGGAGTAGTGCGTTGGCAACCTGTTGAACGCTGCAGTCAAACAATTAGTAATTCGTCGTCCGACAAAAACCAAAAAGATTATCAAATAAATAAATTTTCATTCACTAAATTCACCCATTTGCGTTCACTAATAATTTGTACAAACATTTTAGAAATAAAAAAATATTTATTGCGTCTTCATCAGTCTTACAATTTTCCAAGTATTTTACAATAATTTTATATNATTATTAAATATATAGTCAGGGCTTGTTTTAGTAACAGTTATTTTTATAACTGCTCTATATAACCCCTAAGACACCATCCTGAATCAAAACTTTCAACGATCCTCTCAAAAATTCCATTTCCTTTTTACCTATTACAAAGAAAAATGTATTAAATAAATAATAAATAAATAATAATAAAAACGAAACTTACTGTACATATTCCAGTACGTAAGTGCCTGTATGAGGGCCAGGTTATCGCGTTGAAACCTTTGGGGGTTGAAATAGTCCGGCTCTACAAAATTATCGGAATCTCTATGGATTCCGGATACGGGGATTAGAACCTTAGTTCCTTTTTCTAATGTTACATCAGTGCCAGGGATATTTAGAGGGTTGAGACACTTTTTAGTCAAAAATGGTACAACAGGGTACATCCGAATGGTTTCTGAATAAAAAAAAAGACCTTTTAACCATACATTTCCTCCTGGATGACAAATCGTAATTACTCCTTATTAAGAAAGGATTTTACTATCCTCATGGTGGCAATTCACCCTTGGAAGGATACTTGTAGGTACTTTCACGTATTTTTCACAATTCGAGTTGTTTAAATAAATATCGGCATTTTAGCATAATTTTTTTAAATACCCACAATACCAAATACCTACCATTGACGTAAACAGTAATTTTGACGTATGTTATCAAACAAGTTAAAAAATACAAAGCATTATCAATTATCAATAACACGGGTGATAACAGGGTCAACATCTACACATTATATTGCATCATCAAATGATAAAAATGAATACAATCTTTTGGTCTATTTTCGAAAATAAAATTCTATAAAAGTTTCTTTGACTCCAAAATGATGATAAAGCAAGGTAAAATTTACCCACTTTAAAGTTTAAAAAAAATTTTAGGGTGTCCGTTAAAGTAGACGCAATTTAGTTTTCAATTGAGTAATTTATCTATTACTTCCTCGTAATATTTTATCTATCTCTATGTAACAGTATCTACCAGTAATAGACCAAAGTGTCGTCTAGCCTTAATCGATAAGATGATTAGAAACATTGTATTGAAGGAAAAACCCCAAAAAACTGTTTAATGTCTACATTTATCTTTTGTTTGACGATGCTTCAGGTGAAAAAGTGATAAGCATACAAAGGGTCACGTTTTTAAGTTAGGTAACAACAGCCCGTGTTACTGATAACACGGCTTATCATGAATACTGCATTTAAAAATTCAAGTTCACTTATTTGAATGTTCTCCTAATGCAAATAAATGACTTTTAGCCGAAAAGATAAAAAGGCAATTTGAATTTTTAAGATTAATATTAAGTGGCAAAATTACCTAGTATTATAGCATTCAAGAAGTCTTCTTTTCCTTTTTCTAATCCTGATCCTTGCTGTGTTTTCTCAAACGATACTATTTTGTTTCTAGCACTCTCATTTTTAGCAATCTCTTCCAAACACCTACAGAGAGTTTCCGCCATCTTCTTAAACCCACCAATTCCACGTTTACTATCTAATATTCCTTCCAACTCGTTCAAAAACAATTGTGTGGCAACTTTAGGTCCAATTTTGACCCCTATAGATCTCTCAAATCGCTTCTTCAAATCCACTTTTTCCAAAACTTCACTCGGAGATATTTTATCCAAAACAGAGCCAGAAGCTTTCACCAATTCTTTGTACTCTGGGCACAAATGTGTGGATTTATCAACCAGGACCTTCTCCAGGAATCCCAAAGAAACAGGAACATAAACAGGTTCATTTAAAAAGTAAGCACCACCATGTTTTAAACCGTTTTTCTTCAGTTCAGTGTAAATTTCATCAACTTGACGCTCAAGATGGAAGTTTTTCCAAATCAGTTTCGGAAAATTCTTTAGAGTCAGTTGCTCTTCAAGACAAATCACGTTCCTGTTTTGCCAGTACGTCCTGGACCATTTACAATACTCAAAGAATATTATAAAAAGCACAAACAATACAGCGATTAGTTCTAACATTTTTGTCGCATGTGAAACCGTTGTGAACGATCTGAACTTGAAGAAGCAACTGCATGTTTGGAAACACGTTGACCGAAAAGCAAGCTTTTCATCGGCAAACTTTATCTCCACGTATCGACCGAATGATCGAAGAATGATTAAATATTTTCTTTTTAAATCTAGGTGAATTACGTTTTATCGTTCTCGTAATCAGTATATTTTAAATGTGCTACATTGTATTACAAATGGAAAAAAACTGAACCTACATCGAGAATTAAATTGTTGTTGTTAATTTTTTGTTAGCAAGATTATAAAGATTTATTTTGTTAATCTTGTAAAAAATTAGTTAAATTGGTCCATAATGTAATTTTATTTATATGTATTTGTTTGTCTGTTCTCATAAAACTGTAGAATCGCTAATTTTATTAATCAACTAATTAAATTAAAATGTGATATAAAATACGATAATTTCTTTGAAAACTAAAAAATCGAAGGGTGTTACTATGATATAGAGAAGAATTAAAAGCGTTTAGTAAAAGTTAGGACCGGACTTATAAAATTAGCTGTGATATTCTGATAAAAAGTCAATTTCGTTATTTTATTATTGCTGGGCAACTCGAATAATTGGCAGATGGTCAGAATGTACGTTATTATACAGGGTGGTTCTTAAAAATCGCGTACCATACCTTTGGATGGTACATTGAACTGATAATATTCGATTGAGAGTAAATATTGCTACAATTTTTTTGATATAGTTACAATAAAAAATAAAACACTTTATCATCAATTAGCTTATCGTTGCGTTGTTAAAATTACAAACTGTAATGATTGACAATGTTTTCGTTTGATAGAGGAATCAAAAATACATTTATCGCTAATATTATTGGCCAATTAATTGTTATTACTGCATATGTATTTTTCATATTGAACATAACATCTATGGTTATTTTTGGAAAACGTGTAAATAATAACGAAATTCATAATTGTTGTAATCTTTTCTGAAATAATTGATAATAAATCTATTATACTCAAAAACATATTACGCGTTGTCAAAATTTGATGTGATAATCCAATAATAAAGATTTGAGACACCATTATTAAGTTTATTACGTTTGAAATCATAAAAAAAGTAACTTTATAAGAAAATCTTTAATTTTATTTTTTTTTTTAACAACAGAAAACATTAACGATATATATATATAAAGGCATTTTTACGAATATAAAAAAGATATTTAGATAAGTTCACCAAGGGGTTTAATGGTCAATTCAGTCACCTAAAAACACAAATAAACAAATTTTCATCTGTAAACTACTATGCGAAATTAAAATTTCACTTTAAATAAAATAAATAAAAGTAAAACAAAAATACTGGCATACAAGGGAAGAAAAAGTAGGGAAAGAGCGAATACAAAGATAGGACACGAAAACTTAGAAGTGACTGATTTTAAGTGTCTAGGAAGTCAGATAAGTCAAGACGGAAGCAATAAAAAGAAGTCACTTCTGTGCTCGCGAACGATTAATTTAGAAATTTGGAAAAGATTGTTAAAGGTGTATATTTGGAGCGCGGCGCTGTACGGGTGCGAAACATAGACGGTGGGCGCGGCGGAAAAGAAAAGATTAGAAGCGTTCGAAATGTGATGTTACCGGCGAATGATGAGGATACCGTGGATAGAGAAGAGGTATTAGAAAGAATAGAAGAATGGGGGACTCTATGGAAGTCTATAAAAAATAGGTGAGATAGGTTGGTAGGACACCTTTTCAGGCATGAAGGTCTAGTCAGAGACATATTAGAAGCAGAAACAGGAGTTAGGAGGAGTAGAGGTAGGCCTAGATTAGATTACTGTTCGCAAATAGTTAAGGATGTGGATTATTCTAGTTTTGGGGAAATGCAAAAATTAACTCATGATAGGAAAGAGGCGCGTGTCCCACCAGTCTTAGGACTGATGACCTTATGATGAGGATGATGATGATTAAATTAAAAATATCTAATATTATATGTATTCATAATTTACAAACAAAAAATGATTTTATAGAAAAGCAAAATTTTAAAAAAATACCTGAACATTCGGAGGTGTCCCCAAGACATACAAGACAGCATCAGAAACGTCTTTAGCCTGTAATCTCGGGGCTATTTTAAGAATAGGGGCGTTGTCATAATTATAACCGTTCACTTCAAAAATCGGTGTATCAACAAGTCCTGGTGAAATACTCTGAAAATGATTAAGTATTTAAATTAAGAAATTTAAAATAAGTCCATAAGACTTACAGTAACTTTAATTTTGGTATTCAAATCCCTTAGTTCGTGACGTAACGTTTCAGTTAGGGCTGTAACGGCGTATTTACTAGCCGGGTAAACATTATAATGGGCAATCGGCGGTACCATGTGACCTACAACACTAAAAACGGATTCAAATATATTTTTATTTTTCATCTTTCTGTTACTACATCGATCCTACCTGTTTATATTTATAACATGACCGTCGATATTATTTTTCTTCATTATTTGAACTGCCTCTTTGGTCGCAATGCATATTCCAAGCACATTGGTGTCCAAAATTTTTCGAAAATCTTCAATTTTACCCTCGGTCAAGTTGATGGGTTTCCCCAACCCTGCACTGTTTACTAAAATACTTACAGGACCAACATTTTCAGTGGCCCACTGGAAAGCCTTTACAACGGATTCTTCCTGAGTAACATCAGCCTGGAAAGGGTAAAATTTACCCTCTTTTCCGTCCAAAGTTCTAGCCAATTCTTCAAGCTTTTCTTTTCTTCTAGCCAGTCCAACTACCTGAGAATAGAGCAGCGATTAATGTCTATAAAAATATAAGGACTAGCAGCTTTCTGGCACTAAATACCTTTAATCCTAGATTTACCAGATCTTCCACTATCGCAGCCCCAATACCGGAATTAGCCCCGGTGATAACTGCAACCTTACCATCCCAGCGTTTCATATTGTTACTTCAGAATCAGGTACAGCAACTTGTTCTGCTTTCTCAACACTGCAAAGAGAAAGATCTCTCATTTCTTCGTCGTTATTAAACTTTCTTCATATAGAAAAGTAAGACGGATCGCCAGTCCCACTTTCACGTACCCGACAATTAACATTTATAAAAATTTGAATACCATCACACTGTAAATGTACAAGGACGTATGAAAAGTTTGTTATCTTGGCATATTAATATGGTAATCCTTCAAATGAATAAATACCTTTTCTTTGGGTATGTATGAAACTACTATAGTTAAAGTTTCCTTAAGCATTTAAATCTAATTTAGACTTACACCTATAACAGAAATCATTACCTTGGACTTATTTTAGGGTAAGTATGGGTCATATTGCTTTACTATTTTTAATTAATTTATTGTGCTATTTTGGTAGCACGAATTTAATTTAGGATAAAAAATATTATTACAGAAATCATAAAAACTTTATCTTATTATGGATTTGTTAAGAAAATTTAATACAGAAAGCTCAAACTATTAAGATGAGAATACTGAAAAACAATAGAAACGTATCACAACTGTTATAATAATTAACGTTAACAATTAATTTAAAAAAAAAAATGAATACGTAAATGATAAATTATTTATGAACAAACCTAAAATAGGTTAACCCTTTATTATTGCTAATCTTTAACAGATGAAAATGCACTTTTTGTGATTAATGATCCTGAACAATGCCAAATTAAGAAATGTTATTAAAAAAGCACAATCAACAAATAGATCTTTTAGCTATAAAGCCCAGCATCTATGACGTAAACTAAATTTCAATGAGAAATGTTTACCTTTTTAAACATTAAAGAAAAATGAAAAACTAAATTCGTATTTACGTACTACATAATACACTTCCACAATGAATAAACTTGTTGCGTTAATGTTTTTACTTCATGTTTCATCAAGTATTTTAGGTAAAATACATTAAGTTAATATTATTGCAAAAATAACTAATCAAGTGCAGAAATGACAATTAGACCAATTAAAAGAAGAAAACCATTAAGTTGTTTTACCTAATTCTCTTCTAGATAATCTTCAACCTAATCAAAATAACAACCCTGGCAGACAACCAAGATCGAAAAGAATAAGGTAAGAAGAAGGATAATTCAATTTAAATATAGATTAATCCCTCTTGGGCAATACGTGTTAATTTATAGATAACTTAAAACAATTACCGTTAACTATTTAATAGTTATGAGCAGAATTAGTTTTGGTCTTGCAGTCTTAGTGTTCGTCTTGCGAAAAAGACCAAGGTCAAGACACAGACTGAACGACCAAATCGTCTTCCTTTGCTCATTACTACCTACCATTTAAGCATTTCGTGTTTTTGCAGTCAAAACAACTATTCAAATACAACCTCAGATGGACAGGACCAAGATCAAAAGGGTTACTTCCCAGACGGGAATGGATGTGTTAGCCCTGGGCTTTTAAACCATCCCAAAAGCAATTTGACCACAAGGTGTGGTTCCGGGAAAACCAAGCCGGAGGAATTTGTCACGTTTACATATTATAACAGGTGGAAAATAGAGTGCAATCTGTCGTTTACAAAGTAGTGTACTCTAACCGTATTGCAGGTACATGTACCATAATATGCCAAATTAAAGATGTCGGAACTGTAATTACGTTCTTTAAAAAAGACTGCGGGAAGATTGGTCACACAGCTACTTGCATTTATGTGAATTTTTTCGGCATCGCGAACTCTAATAATATTTTATTCTAAATATGAAATATTAATCTGAAAATTCATTTTTGAATTTTTTACCCACTACACGCTACCTCAAATTAATGAGGGAAAAACTGTTGCTGTTGTTACAACCCTTGCCGGGAATCGAACCCGGGATCTTTGACTTTTACGCACCAATGTTCTGAGCTAAAGCCAAACGTCCCGGGTTCGATTCCCGGCGGGGCAACAATTTTTCCCTCATTAATTTGAGGTAGCGTGTAGTGGGTAAAATTTTCAAAAATGAATTTTCAGATTAATATTCTTCTTCTAAAAGTTGTCTAAAATTGTATATATGTTTTATTCTAAAATTGTAAATTTTAGAAAAAATAACGCTACACATGGAGTTACATTTTCGTTAAACAGCTCGGCGAAAGTTTTGGTTGAAATAGACAATGGGAAGCCCCTAAAATTGATAACGCACGGCTGGTTGAACGACGGGTTATCAGAGATATGTCAAAGAATTAAGAATTCTTATTTAAAGACCCGCGATGTGAGTGTAATTGTGATAGATTGGGGCTGTGTGGCGCATTCCCATTGGTACTTTACACCTTTAGAAAGCATAGAAAGCATAGCTCAGTATTGTGCAAAGGTGATTGAGAAGATTGTCGATAATGGAATGAACCCCAAAAACATCCACCTGATAGGGTACAGTTTGGGGGCGCATCTTTCGGGAACTATATCCCTCATACTCAAAATGCATATGAAAATTACAATCGCAAGGGTTACTGGTGGGTACCTAAACATTTATACAGACTATTACTATTACAAAAAACTTCAAAGGTTTATTTTTACGTAGATGCCAATCATATTTTCAGGCTTAGATCCCTCTTTGCCTATGATTGAACATCTCAAATATCGCCTTGATCAAACTTGTGCAGATTTTGTGGATGTGATTCACACTAGTGGAGGTTTTTTTGGTATAAAAGATGCAATAGGCCATGCAGACTTCTACCCTAATGGAGGCGTCATACCCCAACCTCGCTGTAAAGGAATTTTGGAGGTTAGGTTTGCTTACAATATTGTTGAGCTGCTTGCTGACATGAACAAAATAAAAAAAGCTCAAGTGGTTAACCACCCCTCTCACGATCTCTGCAAGAAGGCTGAAGGGGGTCGCCTGGCCTAGCGTCTGAAGTAGTCCGGAGGGACTATCTACCCACCAGCGTTAGCAGTTGGTGGGAGTAAGCCGCCCAAAAGTATTTTTTCTCCCATTTCCACTTCTCCTGTCTCTAGTGTCTCTCCCTAACCATCTCTCTCACGATCCCTGCAGGAAGGCTAAAGAGGGCCATCTGCCCTATCGTCTGAAGTTGTCCGGAGGGACTATCTGTCCACCAGCATTAACAATTGGTGGGAATGAATCGCCCAAAGGTATTTTTTCTCCTGTCTCCATTTCGCCTCTCTTTAGTGTTTCTCCCCAACGCTCCTCTTACGATCCCTGCAAGAAGGTTGAAGTGTACGTCTGCCCTATCGTCTGAAATTGTGGTTGGACAACCGCAACAACAGCAGTTGGTGGGAATGAACCGCCCAAAATTATCTGTCTCTACTGTCTCTCCCCAACCGTCCCTCTCACGAACCCTGCAAGGAAGCTGAAGGGGGTCGTCTAGCCTACCGTCTGAAGTAGTCCGGAGGGACTAGCTGCCCACCAGCATTAGCAGTTGGTGAGAATGAACCGCCCAAAAGTATTTTTCTTCTGTCTACATTTCGTCTGTCTCTACTGTCTCTCCCCAACCGCCCCTCTCACGATCCCTGCAAGAAGGTTGAAGGGTACGTCTACCCTACCGTCTGAAGTGGTTCGGTGGGACTATCTGCCCACCAGCGTTAGCACTTGGTGGGAATAAACCGCCCAAAAGTATTTTTCTTCTGTCTTCATTTCGTCTGTCTCTACTGTCTCTCCCCAACCGTCCCTCTCACGTTGCCTGCAAGAAGTCTGAAGGACGGTTATCTGTCCTACAGTGTGATGTAGTCCGGAGGGACTACGTGCCCACCAACATTAGCGGCCGATGGAAATTGACCACCCAAAATTTTATTATTAATTTTTTTTTTGTTTCAGATTTTTAGTGCATGCAGTCATGCAGAAAGCTGGAAGCTCTTTGAAGAAAGTATCGAGGTGTTTACTGAATATTCTAAGTGCGATTCGTGGACTAATTTTCAACTGGGAAAATGTAATAAAACACAAATGGTACCGTTTGGGGACCCGGCACCATCACACGCAAGAGGTTGCTACTATCTTGATACCACCAATATACACCAGAACAAATTATTATAAACATCTTGATATACAGTTTTAAATAATTCTGTTGTTTATATTATTTGTCCAGCGCGTTTATTAGTATAAACTTTGACAAAGCACTTTTACAATTAAGCTTACAACAAACACATATTTTGTATGAATAACATTTCTTATAATAAATTATTATATTGTACGTTACTTGTTTTATTCTAATAAAATTTTTAGAAGAAGAATGTGACACTAATAATTTTTGTTTGTTAATTTTGTCTCCAAAAGTTAGAAAGGAAAAGTAGGGAGATATTCGTGGTACCTCATGGTTTGAATATTTGTAGTGCCAAGGCAGTACATTATCGTGATTTGAAATAGAGAACAATGCCAAATTAAGAAATGTTATTAAAAAACATAATTGGCAAATAGACCGTTTAGTTATGAAGCATAACATCTACACCTAAATAGTTGTTACTAAAATTCGCTTTCAAAATGAATAAATTAGTTGCTTTAATACTTTTACTGCAAAATTCATCGAGTGTTTCAGGTAAAATGTCAAGGGTACAAAATATCGTATTTATTAATTAATATAATTCGTATTGTTCTAGTTAAAAGGTGTTTTTTACCCTATTTCTCTTTTAGATAATCTTCAGGCTAATCAAAATAACAATATCACACGACCAACGTCGAACAGAATAAGGTAAAAGTACGAACAATTTCCTTTAGGGAACATTGAATTTGAGTTTTGGCAAACCCGGTCATTATGATGAAAATTTTCTTAAATATTTTTACATTATTTAAGCACGTCAATCTGTAATAATCATATCATTTAAAGACAAATTGGATATTGTTTCTCTCAATAATTTTTATTTTTGATTTTCGAGTAGCGGTCCACTTCGAAAGTCCCCATTGGAAAATTTTCAGATGCGTTATGTTCTGGACAGCGATTTTCATTTTACATTTTACAATAAAGAGTAAGTTGAAGTTTTATTTTCCTCGTCAACTTTTAACGTTAAATACGTAACTATATAAATACAACAAACAAAAGCATTTTTGATATAAATTAATTATTGGAAACGTTGAAAAGAATTATTTCGTTGATATGCAATGTAGGTACTCATTGTCATTATCAATGTTTCTAAATCTCAAAGGCGTTCTAGGATTATTTAGATCTCTATATTTTTTATCCAATTTTATTCATTCTCCATCTTGGGTACATCATTCTCCATCTTGTGCACACCATCCTCCATCTTGTGTACGTAATCCTCCATCTTCTGCAAAACAACCTCCATCTTGTGTGTATCATCCTTCATCTTGTGTGTATCATCCTTCATCTTGTGTAAACCATCCTCCATCTTGTGTACGTAGTCCTCCATCTTGTGTAAACCAAGCTCCATCTTGTGTGTATTGTCCCCCATCTTAGGTACATCTTTCTCCATCTTGTGCACACCATCCTCCATCTTGTGTACGTAATACTCCATCTTGTGTAAACCAATCTCCATATTGTGTGCATCATCCTCCATCTTGGGTGCATAATTCTCTATCTTGTACATACCATCCTCCATCTTGTGTATGTAATCCTCCATCTTGTGTAAACCAACTTTCATCTTCTGTGTATCATCCTCCATCTTGGGTACATAATTCTCCATCTTGTACACACCATCCTCCATCTTGTGTACGCAATCCTTCATCTTGTATAAACCAACCTCCATCTTGTCTGCATCATCCTCCATCTTGTGTAATCCATCGTCCATCTTGTGTACACCCGTTAAAATTCTTACTTGCAGTCACCCGAAAGGGATAGAAATGTTGAAAGATGAACATTACAAAAACATCTTGCCCCAGGTGTTTCCTGATAAGCCTGTAAGGTTTATAACCCACGGTTGGAAAGCGAGTTGCAAAGCAGGCTTCTGCACGGAACTAAGAGACGAATACTTGAAAAATGAAGACAACCAAGTTATAATAGCTGAATGGGAGAGTTTGTCAAATGAAATAGAATATTTCGAAATAGTTGAGCAGACAGGCGAATTTGCAGTGATTTTTTCAAAAGCTTTGACACCTGTTGTCGAAAAGGTGCACGGAGAAAATGTACAGATAATTGCATTAGGCGTGGGTGCTCATCTTTGTGGAATCGCTGCTGAACTTATAACGAATACAACTAAAATGAAAATAGGAAGAATTACAGGTAATATGAAATAATCATTAAATCAGAACAGAACTGTTGGCCACCAACTTATTTAAACCACCAGGTGCGAAAATCATTTGAAATACTTCATCCTTTCAACCATGTACTTGTCAATAAAAAGCACTTTTGATTTGGTCGAAGATTTATCAAAATTACTGGGGTCATAGCCAGACTGTAGAATCACGACAGGCTCAATAATCCTTGTCCTAGTGTACTCCTGGCTACGACCCTGGTAACTACTTTTGTAACACAGACACCATACAATCAGACAAAGTAAACCAAATCCAATTGCTATTAAATTTGAACATTTTTGAACTTCCTTGTAACTCAGCTTATCTTATAAAACTATAAATGCATTGTTTTACCAGTACCAAGACTACTTTTGGTACTTTACTGTCACATCAGTATTTGTTCTTCTTATGAGCTTTATCTTCTAAAGAAGTTAATATCAATTAAGAAGAAAAAACAAAAGGGAAATATATTTCAGGATTGGATCCCTCCTGGCGATCATTTGAAATTCCTATATACGGTCTTCAAAAATCGCAAGCCACCTTCGTGGACATTATCCACACTACCGCTGGCTCATCAGGTATCCCAGAGCCCCGGGGTCATGTTGACTTTTATCCCAACGGTGGTATAGTCCCACAGCCTGGTTGTCGACGACGTTTTATGGTAAATAAATGATTAAAACAATGCTTTTCGTAAAAAGTAGGTAGTCAGATACATTTTGATGAAATTGGTTGGAGAATTTAATTAAAGGAAGTTCTCTTCTTCTAGAGATTTGCCTTAGATAAATGTAGCCACAACCTTAGCTGGGGGTGGTTCAAAAACACCATAAACTCTCAACCGAAAAATTATAAGATGGGATACCGATGTACCTCAGGGAAAATTTTAAACATATTTTACTGCAACTTCAATGACGTGACACCTTTTGGTCAAATGACCCCTGCTAGTGCTAGAGGCGTCTACTATTTGGAAATTAAGAAGTGGCCTTTTCCATCAAATCGCAAAGAATTTAATAAGAACGAAACAAAAAAAATTGAAGTACAATCGAGAATAAAAGAATTACGATTTTTTTTATGTTTAAACTAGGAGAATAAAAAATATATTATTAATTTGTGAATATAAAACTTTATTATATACAGATGGCATTTTTTCTCCCCTGCAACTCCTTAAAATTAGATTACACACAATACAGTCAAAACCGTTTACTGCGACATCGTTTAGAACAACATACCGGTTATATTGACCAAAGTCATAGTTCCCGGCTTAATTCTGTTAGACCGCCTTATAAAAAATACCGGTTTTTACGACATTGCTTATTACAACATATCTCTTTAAGCGACCACATTTAACTGATATTTTCGGAGAATTATATCTGTTAGAACGACCAGCTGTATTGTAAACATTTGAATAGGTAACAGTATCCACATCTGGTACAGTAAATGACCATTAGTTTAGGGTCTATTGTAATTCTCAGAATATCTGTTACTGAAGCTAAGGAGTTTATTGATGCAGATAACTCTATTGCAATTTGTGCACCAGCTACGGAAGATGATATTGTACAAGAAGTTCAAGAGGAAAATGACGAACAGGAAGAGACTGAAGAACAATTTACAGTGCCAACTTTGAATGATGGTCTCAATGCTGTCAGTGTATTACGAAAAATTGTTTTTTATTCTAATGAACAGTTTCATATGCAGGGAAATTATGATGATACATTAATTAAAATTAAACGTGAACTACAAAGTCTGTACGCACGACAGAAGTGTTCCAAACAGACTAAAATTCCAGATTTTATTAATATAGAAAAATGATAATTATATGTACGTAATGTCTTTTTATAATACGTTTTATGTAAAATAAATAAAATGTAGTTTTATTTTATATATGAATATATTAATCACACATACAATAATAGGTATTAAGTACTTAATAATAACGTCGCCGGCTATTACGACTATCGGTTTTTACGATCAAATATGAGTAGTCCCTTCAGTGTCGTTATAACAGATTTTGACTGTAATTATTTTTAAATATTATTGTAGGTATCTTTGTAAAATGAGCTACTTTTTTTTTATCTTTTTTTCATTTAAAAGAGTCACGCCGTTTTTAACACCTCTGCACTTTATTTAAATGGCTATCGGTTCATATTAAAACAGTTAGATAAAAAGAAAAGCAAATTAATACATATTCTGCATATATTTTCAGTACGGTTAAACAGACAATTCCCCTCTTCAGTGCTTTTTTGCATTAAAATTTCGTGTCCTGTATAGTCTAATCTAATTTTATGTATTTATGTGTTATGTACTGTAAGGGGTCAAAAATATTGACTTTTATGTATGTAACTGATTTAAAAAACACCACACCACGATTTGAAATGAAGAATATTCATAAGACGATAGCTCGTTAACTACCCACTATTGTAATTAATGACAGTTGTATCTGTACCTGTAAATTTTAGTTAATTGTTCTTGATAAGCATTTGGTAATTAATTGCAAATTTGATATCTACTTCTGCCTATAAATAATTCAAGTCCAATGGGGTATTCACCCATTTGAATACTTGTTGGCACTATGTTCAAATCAGTTACAATTTGTTCAAGTGTCTGCCTTCTACTACTACTAATTAATGCAAGTAAGTGTACAATTTTTTTATTCATAAGCTTCTAATTCAGAAAATTATTTACAAGAAAAAAATTAATAACATTTAGGTTCGGGGAAGTACCCGACGAAAAATGGTCCCAGAAATAATCTATTACTGGATTTTGGTAAAATAACAATAAAAAACCCCATGAAAAACTACGACGATCCAAATACATCCCCTTACGGAGAATACGGAATAGACTGGGTGTATTTTCCAGATGGGAATGGAAATATTAAAATCGGATTTTTAAGACACCCCAAATACTACAACAAGAATGTTGCCAGTAACAGTAGCACAAGAACAATATTTTCGAAAAGCCCAAACACTGAAGAAGTTGTAAAATTTATGTTTTACAACAGGTGAGAAACAACTGAAAAACAACAACCCCCAATTTTATTGTCACAAAGGTACCACCTGGTGCTACTTAACAAAAACTTTCTACTTCTAGGAAAAACAACGACAAAGGTGGAACGACATTCCTTTTAAGCAATATGACAGAAGTTTTAGGGGAAATTGATAACTCGAAACCCCTAAAACTGATAACGCATGGCTGGCTGTCGAACGGGCATACAAAAACGTGCCAGCTGATTAAAAATTCCTACTTAAAAAAAGATGACATGAACGTGATAGTGATGGATTGGAGCGAAATATCCGACACCGTATGGTATTATAAACCCTTGTCAAAAACAAAAGACGTCGCTTCGTATTATTCAAAAATCGTTGAAAAAATTGTCGCAAACGGTATGGACCCCAAACATATTCATTTGATAGGGCACAGCCTGGGGGCCCATGTGTCTGGATTCGCAGCAGTAACCCTTAATAGAACCACTGACATAAGAATAGGCAGAATTACAGGTAATACGTATACTATAGGGTTGTTCGGAAAGTCATTTCGTTTTTTTTTTGTGGAAATGAAAGACAGTTTTGTTATAATAAACAAATACTTTATTAAATTATATATTGACCGTTCTGGTCCAACACCTTTTGCCATCTTTCGAATAATAGCGACATATTGACAAAATAAAATTTTTGGTCTTTGCTGGCAAAAAACTGATCGAGGAGGTTTTTGACCTCCTCATTTGAGGTGAAGGTTTTACCGTCTAAAAAATTTTGGAGTGACC